TGTAAAATGCCCCAATTCATAATATATATATTCTGTTCCATCTAAGACCCTGTCAATATTACGCCGTAAAAAATTTAATCTTAACACCCCCCACCCCTACCAACTAAAATTTTAGACGCCTCATCCCCAATTCATTTTTTTTATCTCTTGCATTCTTATTACCAAATCAAAATCAGCAGTTAAAAAAAAAATTCGAATCAAAATTATATTCGGATAATATCATATAATATAAAAGTATCTGTGAAGAATTTTATTTGTTCCCATTCTAATGTCGACCATTTTGTATATAGCCTTCAATATAACATTATACCCACCAATCAATTGTGGTAACGACGCTAGAATATGATAGATTTCTGTAATCAAAATTTTCGGGACATATAACACGACTGTTGTCAATCAGAAAATTCACATTCAAATCCATTTTTTCGGTCACTTTTAGAGTTGTTAAAGTAGCGCGCTAACTTTTTTGGTAGCTATAGCTAATAGCGGCTACTTTTTTTGTAATTATTTAATTTTTTAGCGCGCTACTTTTTTTTGAAAGTAGCTAAGTAGCCGCTACTTCGCTACTTTTAAAAAATATGATGAAGGTAAGTGTAAACATGAAAATTTAAATATAATATCATAATTAATTATAATTTTTATGATTTATTATTTAATTTTGAAATTAAAATATAATTTCAATTTGTAATTTATATTTTCATTTGTATTATAAACCTAAATCACGTGTTAATAATTTTAAATGTCATCGCCTATGGATATCCAAATCGTTGAAAGTGATTCAGACAATGCTATTAATGAAATGGAAGATACCAGGGAAGAAAATGTTCTTAATAGCTATAATACAAATTTCCCATTCCCTAGATTTGAAAATTTTTTTAAATAAATATATAACCAAAACTGGTTTCAAATTTATTTGTTTAAAATGTAAAAAAAAATATTTACTCAAATCAATCCAGTAGCTATAACCTCAAGAAACACCTAAAGGTAAATTGTCATTTTTACATTCTAATAATATTTATTTTATAAGACTGTTCATGAGTTTTAAGGAAATGGAGAAATATCTAAATAATTTTGGTATATGCGACTCTACATCCAAAAAGACTAATTCAATTCAAACCAAATTAATTAATAATGTAAATGACAATATTTCTTAGAGATGATTTTATAATTTATACAGTTCAGCCAATGTCCTTAGTTGATAATCCATCATTTACCATGATGATTAAAACTCTATCCCCTGGTACAACAATTTTATGCCGCCAGACACTAATGAATAAAATAGCAGATAACTTTAAAATGATGAAAGATGCTCTAATAGTAGAGTTATCAGAGATATCATATATATGTACCACGGGAGATAGTTGAACACATAACAGAAGGTAAAAACTTATTTATATTTATAAATTGATCTGATTAAATATTTTTGAGCTTATTTGGGAATCACAGGCCATTGGCTAGACCCTAGAACTTTTAAAAGAAGATCTGTGGCATTAGCCCTCAAAATGATAATAGGATGTTAGACATACAATGTACTTGCAAATAAAATTATTGATAATCTATCATATATATTAAAAATATGTATATAAGATTAAATACGCCCTTACCCCCAAGTGCTAGTGTCGAGAGATTATTTAATAAGGCAAAACTTTCTGATCGTCGCTCTAGACTTGGGGATGATAATATTGAAATGATTTTATTATTAAAATGCAACAAATTACCATAAATATTTATTTTTATTACATAAATTTTTTTCTAATCAAAACTAACTATATTTTAATATTTATAAATGTTGATTTTTATATATTTACTATGCAATAACATTATAAGCAAAAAATAAAAAATTTGTTTGGTAGCTTAAAAAGTAGCTAAAGCTACTTTTAAAAAATAGTAGCTAATAGCGAGCTACTTTTTTTGACAAAAGCAATAGCGGTAGCGCGCTACTTTTTTAACAAATAGCGATAGCGCGCTACTTTTAAAAGTAGTGTTTACCAACTCTGCTTTTCCGGTGTTAGAAAAAAAAATAGAAATGTATAAGAGCAAACTCTATCTAAAAAAAAGCAATATACTATATTCCTATACCACATTCTTACTGTATCCTTAGTGGCATTGATGAAATTCTGCTTAAATGTTCCTGAATTCTCAATTCAATCCAACAATTTACATTGGAAATTTAGGATAGATGTACATTAATTTATACATCCAAAGCTTTTCTGAACTCTGTTAAATTATTCACCAGTAATCGAAAAAAACATAATCATTAGAATTCCGCATTAAAAAAAGAAAGATATTTTATAGAACGGCGTTATTTACTGAAAAATATTGAATAACAGGTTACCAAGATTAGCATGAAATATTTATATATAACTATGGCATTCAATCAGATGCTGAATCAAAACTGTCAGTATACCTCGTGATCAAGATGAAGATCAAATCAAATATTTGAGGCAAACCCCTTTCGACACCAAATGATAAGGAATGTCACTCTAGTTTATAAAGAGAGACATACGTGCGTTATCCTTTATCGTAAATTTGTTTTATAACAATAGAAATAAATTTTTCAGTAAACAGGATATGGCCCGATTAAGATTTTAGCTAAAATAATACTATGAATGCATGGAGATTTTGGCAAATAGTTTCCCGCACTTCTATTCAGTTATGAGCAAACTCTTTAGGGCTAGCAAATATTTAATTCTTGAGTTATAATGTTTATTCTAGAGTATGGTACCCTTCTAGGTTCGGCCATATGGTTTTAACCGTACTCTAATTTAACAATAAAAGTGCTGAGGGAAAAAAAACATAATGAACGAGCTCAACTGGCAAGAAGCGCTTTAAAAAAAAATAGAACAACCTAATAAACTGCCTTCCGAAATTTTTTCAAAAGGGGAATTGGCGAGAATAAATCTTTCTTGTGAATTAGAAAATAAAGGATCACCAGCTTGGAGGAAGCGCCGGAAGAACAATACAACGAACTGTTATAACGAATAGGTAGTGGAGAACGAGTAAAGTACGCCAGCCAAAATCAAGAACCAATTGCGTTGGGAGGAAAATGTTGGTGAGAAAAAGAATGGAATGGAAATATGCGCGGAATAGATATGTCTGTATCCCTTTAGTGCGAGATATTTTAAATTGAACCAAAAGATGGGTTTTTAAAACTTCCAAAATATTTACTTAACGACTGTTTTTTTCTGCTACATAAATATTACTACTGCCTGAAAGAATTTCAAGAGTTCTATTAGAAATTAAATGAGAATAAGAATTTATATTAATAACCAAGGTTGAGAAGAGAAGCAATGAAAACTTGCGGCAAATTACCTTAGGGATCAGAAATATTCATTACATTCTCTAATTTTTTTTAACACATCTGATGATTAATATTTGTATAAAAATTAAATATTACATTTAATAAATAAAATAGAAATAAAATGCTAATTAGTTTTCAGGCTGAGATTTTGTAATATAATCTACACAACTCTAAATATGTTTCCTCTATCTTGTACCCTTATATAAGTCACAGAGACCTGCAGGCCCAGCCGTGAGCCCGACCAGACCCAGCCCGGGTATTAATTTTTTTCAATAAATAATCCGGGCCGGGCAAACTTGTTTCAAAAATAAATCCGGGCCGGGCCGAGCAATCGCGATTAAAGATTATTAGACGGAGAAAATCAACTCCGGGCCGTGACCCGATATGTCTCCAGGAGTATATGATTAAGGATGTACCTTTTAGCTCGCCATAAACAATTGATTTAATAGAAATTACGCAGGCCTAGATATGATTTACTATTTTTAGGATTGAATAGATTAATATTCTTAGCCAATCAGTTGTGCATCTAAAAATTTGGTAATAAGCAATTCCAACCAATCAAAACCTATGATCGGTTTATGAGGAAAAGTAAATAAGAGGGAAATGCCACTAAGAATTATGAAAAGAAAGAATATGATTATATTTCTTAGGCGATAATATCAAGAAAAGTCGTTACCAGACACTTAATAAGAATTAATTTCGCGCCAATATTGACTCAAGTTAGAATAATGGTAAATTTAATATTGACCAAACACTACATACGGTACTTTCAATTTCAGAATGACTAGAGTATTTTTTTTTATGTATTGATAAAATGTTAGTGTCCAATCAGCCTTACGCCTAAAATGTCTTATCGCGACACACATTTTTCTAATATTTCTAACATTGTTATTCGTTTAGAAAAAATACTTATGATATCGGAATATTTTCCCCTTACAGAATTATCACGTGTTTAAAAAAAAACCTAGGCATATTAGTGCCCGATGAGTGCTCCTAGTAAAAAATTAGTATTATTCCCTTTACGAATCGAACAAAGAATAATTGTTATATTATGAATCTATATTCGTGAATATTATTCCCAAATATTATATTTCGATTGGATTCCTAAGATCGGAATATTAATTTTTCTAATCTTTAAAACCTTTTTTTTTTTGAGGGGGTGAAAAATATGCAATTTACCTTAAAATAACAAATTATAAATTGTACAATATAAATGTCATCATGATTGCCAAAAAATAAATCGTATATAACTGAATCTTGTATATAAATGATACTATTTACTTTTTTTTTATCAAGAAATCCATATTCGAGTTTAATAAAATTAGTTTTTGAAATTTTCTGATCTGCCCTCACCCCACAGGCACTTTAATCACGGGATGGGGTACAAGTTATGGACATTGAAATAAAAGGGAAGATTCTTGGTTAGAACAGGGAGACGGAATAAGGGAATTCAAGTTTTTATTGGTGTAGCTTGGATTTCTCCTTTTATTTCTAATTTTTTTTAGCCGGAAGTGAGTAAATTTTGGACATTGGCTTTAGGAATTATAGAAGAAGTGCCCGATACCCTAATTCGGTATACCACATCACGTGATAATTTTATGCCCCCCCCCTAAATATTGCTGATTTTATTTCTAGCTTAAATCATTCAACAAATAATATGTTGATGATTTTTTTTTTTATTAAATTTTAAAAAACAATTTGCCTAATATTTTTATTATGATTATATTTTTTTTAAAAAAAAAGATATCGTATACAAAATAAAATGATTTAGAAAAATGAATTTTTTTTGATATTTTGGCGCGTATTTTTTCTTTGGTTAATGTAACTATTTAAACGTCAAATCATAATAGGGATATTTGAAGGGCACGCGTCACTCTTCCGTCTCATCTTCCAAGTAATAATTATCTTGAAGCATTGGATGGGGAGGTTGTTTTTTGATCATACGTGAATGACATTTATGTTTTTGTAATGGTTCATGATATCGACAATGATTTCGTGACCAATCTCGTTGTTGTCATTGGTCATGGGCAGAGAGGCTTCCTCTATATCCACGACTATTTTGTTGCCGTTGTCTCTTTTGTCATTAGCAATCGTCAGGTATTCCTCCTCTTCTATCATATCCTGTTCATCATTTCCGGATGAGGGCATCTTCTCGGTTGCGTGACTACTATTAAAATTATTTCGATCAAAAATTTGGGTGGCGGTATTTCCGATCAGTTGGTGGTCATTCATTTTGACGAGGTTGCCGTAATCGATGCAATTGGTTTCCAGGCAACTTGGATCTACTAAATCTACTTTGCGACGATAAATTTTTTTAATCGCTTTTTGGTCATCGGAACCATTCTTATCGGGAACTTTGGATCGGCCAGAGAGACTCCTCAAGAGAAAACTTTTGTCGCAGGTACTGGTAAATTTTTTGGCGAACCGGTTCCAGAATTTCATTTTATTCAAGATACGGCAGAAACCTTTGCGAAAATTATCCGATAAAAAGGCGTAGAGGATGGGGTTCATGCAGGAATTCATGTAAGCTAAGCATTGAGCAGATATCTGCAAAGCCACAAAGACGATGGTCTCTGGGTAGGAGCCGAAATGTATGATCAAGAAGATGATGTTATTCGGGAGCCAAGAGAGCGCGAAAATGAAAACCACTATGGTCACCATTCTGGTCACCTTCCGTTTAGACTTGAGGGTCTGGCTTATCTTTTTGTCCTTCAATTTGTGAGAGATGGCATCGTGAGTTGGGCTACCGGTGCAACTCAGTCTCACATTCTTATCTCTACGAATTCGATAGAGAGAGTCGTGTTTAACTTTATCCTTAATTGTTTGGCTGCGTTTAGGCTTATTAGAACGGTTAAAGTATTCATAGAGTCGCTGTTTCGAAAGAGTATTCCTACTGAATTCATAACGGCGTTCTTTGAGTTTCCCGTTCTTGCAAAGTATGTAAGTTTTTTTGGTGGCTGCAGAGTTCTGCTTGTTAACGCCACCATCACCACATCGATTAGTAATAATATTATTGTCATTGTCGAAAGCGTCATCATCGGATTCTTCCCGCGTGTCTAAGGTGTGAAGAAGCTGAGAAGCTCTTGTAGCGGGGACGGCAGAATAGCGAGGCGTGTTTACTTCATTTTTGGTCCACAAGCGTCTGAGCAAGTAAAAGTAGAGCAGAATGACAACCGCAAGAGGCGCCACATAGGCCAACGCAAAAAAGAGTCCGTAAAGGATTCGCGCCCCTTTTACGAACTCCTGCCCATTGATAGCGATCGCGCATACATACTTGTACTTTTGCTTGATTCCGGCTTCTGTGGCGTTAGCAAGGTACTTAGAGGGGTCTGGGCTTTCGGCGTCCACATAGGAGATAGACTGATACAGATGCAGAATAGGGCTATTTATTACGAGAACGCAGGCCCACGTGATTAGTGCGCACTTCCAGGCGTTGCTAGGGTTGCGGATCGACATGGATTTGATCGGATACACGACAGCAAGAAAGCGATCCAACGACATAAGGACCAGTATATAAACGCTAGCGTAGGCACACACGTGGATCATATATTGATACATCTTGCACGCTAACGTTCCAAATGGCCAGCTAAACAGTGCGTATATCATAGCCGTGAACGGCACGCAAACGACTATAAAAGACAGATCCGCAACTGCCAGGTTTAAGATCAGGATGTTGGTAACTGATTGCATCCTTCTATTGGACAGGACGACGAAGATGACGAGACAGTTGCCTACGACCCCGATTAACACGATTAGACTGAAAATAAAGGGAACAATGCCCGAAACCAGGGTCTGCACGTTTAACATCAGGTTCGTGTTTTGTTCCTCGATCTCAACGCCGTTCCTCTCCGAATTCCTCTTGTGGAACGATCTGTTGTAGTGAACGGACTCGAAGGACCGAAAACTCAAATGGTCAAAAGCGTTTAAAATATACACGTGTCCGTCATATTTCGAGTTGCCATCGAAACGAGATTGGGAAATATCGTGCGACGTATGATCCTTAAAATTGGAATAGTTTTGGATATGGTTCACATCCAAGAAGGAATTAGACGGCAAGCTGGTAATGTTGGTGATCATTCTTTTTACATCTTACAAAAAAAAACATTTATTTTTTATAGAAATAAAAGAAAAAATACGTGATAAAAAAAAAAATTTGCATTATAAATATTGATAAAATTATCACTTATAAAAATAAAATATTATGATGTGCCTTCTTTATGGATAAATTATTTAATAAAAATATATTTTTTATATAATAAAATCACGCGAAAGTTAGCTTTACATTTCCATATGCATTTTCATATGCATCTCATGCACAGTAAAAGTGACATTTATTGGGAATAGGTTTTCTCGTTTAAAAATTTTAATATTAATAAATAATAAAATATTAATATTATTTTTTAACTAGATAATTTTCTTAAAAAAAATTACCTTATTTCCTAAAAAGGAATATATTATAATAAACCTATGATACTAATTAAAAATGAAATTTGGAATGATTTTAATCTACTATGATGCCTAATTCGATTAATAAGATTTTTAAAAAAAACGTATTGCGTTAATGTATATTTTTTTGTATTTTTTGTTGGATATTAAATCGATAAGTCTTTATTTTTTTGGTTTATTTATGATAATGATTTTTTTAAAAAAAATAGATCAAAGATTATTTAGCATCTTAATGGAAAACTCTTTTCCTTTTCCAAGAGCTAAACTTATATATGATTGATCAAGGAATCAATGGCTAAAGATTGGAATAATTCAAGCTGGCTAAATTTACTCAGCAGGTAAGGAGCCGAATAAAAAAATCCGCTATTCATTCGAGACGCGAATTAATTTATCTATGCTTTTTTTTTCTTCTTCGAAGTTAAGCTATATTATCAATAAACAAAAAGGGGGCACTGAGGGCTGAAGAGATAGAGTTTCGAGCCTAAATATTAGATTTTTAGTTAACCCCCCCCCCCACCCCCTTTTTTTACCGCTCCAAAATAGGCTAAAAATGGGTAAAATTAACCTAGACCAGGAGGAAGTCGGCAAAAATATTTCATAAAATTCCCAACTGGTATTTCCAGAGCTCTCGCGAAGAGAAAAAAATTTGAAAAAATTTGAATTAAATTTTAATGTTTATTAAATAAAGGCTAGAAAAAGATATTTCAAAAATATTTAAAAAGAAAAAAAATATTTTTTTTTTTTAAATATATTATTCCCGATGAATCCTTGTCTGATGAAATTTGATCATTCGGAAAAAATCATCTTCCTTAGAGAGACGTTTATGAAATTTTTATCATCAAAAGATAATTGTATTATCCTAAAATGCGTATCTTAAAAGGGGTCTAATTACCATCAGGGAATCTATTTTAATTAGTTTAATATGATAAGATTTGAATATTTAAAACGATGGAAAAAAATAATAAAAATCTTATATTGTTTTGAATTTTTTTATATATATTTTATTTATAATATATTTTTTATTTAATTTTTGTTAATTCGAAAAGAAATTTAAATTTGTTCGCGGAAGATCTAAATCTCTATTTACCCCCCCCCCCTTCTTCCTTCTGCTTCAAGAGGTGTCGTATAAAAAATTTAAAAATTTATTTAACTTTTTTTTCCGTGAAATCATTTAATTATTATTTTTTTTGGCCTTTTTCTTTCGACTTTCCTCCTGGACTTACATTTTATTTAGAGATTTGATATCATAAATTATTTTCTAGTGTAGGTAATAGTATTTTATTGTGTAAATTTATTGATAGATATCCCCTTAAATATATATTGCATCAGATGTGCAGCCCATCATACTCTACAATTGGCTATATTAATGATTACCTAAAAAATGATCACCTTAAAACAATCATTGATAAAGCAGGGGATGTTGCAAAATATTTAAGAACTTCTCAGAATCGTTAGAATATTATAATCAATGAAAAGGTCAGTGGCAAAAGTAGATTGCACAACACGTTGGTCCTCAATTTATATGTTGCTAAAAACGATTATTAAGTTTGAAAGATTTCTGTAATGATTTTATTATAGGAGCATGTGAAGTCATTTTAGTGAGAAGATGATTGGTGCCAAGTAAAGGACCTTACTAGTGTATTAGTTCCTCTAAAAATAGCAAAATTAAGATTACAATCAGAACGATTATGTTTATCTGATTTTTATGGCATATGGATTAGATGCCGATTAGATTTAGAAAAATTAACTAGTCCTTTTTTTTAAATACGAAATATTAGAAAACATGAAAATTCGAAAGCAATAATATTTGCAATAGTGGTGTATACGCTTCTATATATTTAGATACTCGATATCAAGTTTTATTGAGTATTGAGCAAAAAACAAATGGCTAAAGACCATCTTAAGGATTTATGGCATAAGCAAAACTCCATTATTTACGATATATTGAAGGCTACGACAATAATACCAACTGGTTGTAGTGATGATAATGACAACGATAGCAACATCGATGATCTTAAAATTTTACTTTTAGATAGAGAAAAAAAAATCAAATTATCACCAGATAGAAAGGAGGATCAAAACAATGCCTGTTACAACTTTAATAGAAAAGTTCTCAGAAATTAAAAGAGTAAATAAGGATACGAATAGTTTAAAAATCTGGGAATAAAATTTTTCAATAGATCCAGAATTATATATATAATCTTGTCTAGAATCGTCATGGCTGTATCGGCCACACGAGTGCAATAATTTATGTTAAATAAAGGTAACTATCTATTTTTAGGTAAGTGTAAGAAGGGTGGATTGTTCATCTTTGAAATATATATCGTCCAATTTATGTGGAAATCTCAAGGATAATATTTTACAAGATATTGTGATTGTGCAATTGAATAAAACATATGTTCCCTGAACCCGGACCCCAAAACCAGACCCTTTTTTAAAGTTGAAAAAATAACGCATTCCCAGGAATTAAGCACATTTGACGGTAGCTTATAGATTAAAAAATATGCCAAGATACGTATAGTGCAGTATATATTTTATCTTTTAGAAAAATTAATGATCGTATATGCTATAATTTTCTAGAATTATACTCCTGTTAGAAATTAAAGGTGGTTCGTTTTAGGCTGCTGGGAGGGACAGAATCGTTAAAATGGAATGACTTTATAGAAAATGCTACAGCCAGAGTTTGGTAGAGGTCGTGTTGTAAATGGGTAACTCAATATTTTAGTAAAATTCTGTCTGGGTCTCGAGATTTCGCTGAGATGTCCAAACCTTTACGGGCACCTATCAGCAAAATATATCTTCGGACTTGCGCGACATTTATCTGGATAAATTATAGAGTTAGCCTTAAGATCGGGTTCAAATCGAGCTATTTAGCAACCCAGGGATAAATTTAATAGAATTCTAGGAGCCACTATAATTCTGCAGGACGACTATCACATCTTCCGTAAGTTCTACATAAATTTAATAACGAATTTAAACACAAATATCTAAATTAATTAAAGTGTTCCCCTCTGCTTGCCATGAATGAAACACATAATATATTATATTATAATTATTTTATTTTCAATTATGGTATACGAAACATTGGAATTTAATTGAATATGACATCGAAAAAAAGAAAGAGAAAGAGCTCGTTATTAAATGATAATTACTATATGTCACTCTCGTGGGACCGAATTTTTGAATTCTAGCCTCTCGTGTACTTCCTTATTTCTTTATGACAGTTTTATTTGATGGACATTTTCGTAATTAAAGAAAGGATGTAATAAGATATCCTTATTAAAACTTTATACAATTTTTGTAATATGAGGATGTTCAGAAAATATGATTGGGGAATGTATAATTTTACTAAAAGACGCCGTAATAAAAATAAAAATTAATAGATCAGCTGGTTGAGAGTTACGTCATTTTGTTATGTTTCTAAAATCGAGGCAGAACCTTGATACCAATTAAATAAGCCGACTCAGAAAATGGTTTACACTCAAATAGTTCTATTAAAGACCGACACCTGTCAATTTTTTAAAAAATATTTTCAGGCCCGGCCCGAGAAATATATTTTTGAATCAGCTGCACGGTTAATAATTTTTTTTTGTGAATGAAAACAAACATAAATTTTTCCTACGGTTTTTAAAACATTTTTAAAACTTTTGCGTCATGTCCGATCATAAATTTTTTAAGCCCCGGTTTGGGCCCTCGGTCCGGTTTACCCCAATCTCCAATTCATTTCCTATTTAGCAAAAAAAAAAGAAGCTATCTCAAAATAAGCTCAAAGTTTGTAAAGTCTGATTCTCGGAGGTAGAGGTTGTCCTAGCAAATATCTTTAGTGCTTCTAAATGATTTTAGTAATGTTTACGAATTTATAAAGAGCATGGGGGGGGGGAAGAGATTTAAAATCCCCATTCCCCAAAGTGTTATTGTTTTTTTTAAATTCTATTGATGTAATCCAATTAATCAACATGAAAAAAAAATAATAAGAACAATACAATCATTTTTGAATCCTATTTCGAAGACAACTGACTTAAAATTAGAGTTGCTAAAAAAAATCTCAATTTAATTTTTTAAAAAAGTGTCCAAAACATTACCTGAGCCCTAGATATTTCTCCAAATGAAAGGAAGAGAGAGATTAGACTTTACTAATTCTTGAGACCTTTGAGTAATATTTGTTCGGCTTAAACTTGAATAAAACTTAAGCTAATTTGAAATTATTTTTTTTAAAATATAAACAAACTTATATTCTCAAAGTTTATAAAATAACGACAAAGGAAGTTTCTTCCTATTAATAAATCTATATCCACAAGGAAAAAATTCCCAAATTTTTCAAAAATAAAAATACAATGTGTGATAAATGGGAAAATCAATTCTGATTTTAATTAATTCTAACTTCCTTTTCCCCTTTTAAAGAGTGGGCTTTTAATTTGGAATTAAATTGATAAATAATTAGAAGAAAAAAAAATATCATTTCCTGATTTGTATTATATTTATATTTATATTTATTATAGATATAAAAATAAATATCTAAAAATATCAAAAATAATCAATTTCAAAAAAAAAACCAAAATTTTTTAATTTTAATATCCAAAAATATTTGTTTTATTTTAAAATCAATATTTTTTTTTTAAATTAAATAATTTTTATAAAAGTT